GGCAGGGTCCTCTGCCGGGCTTGGAGCTGGATGGGGGAGAAGTAGGGAGGGTCCTCTGCCAGGCTCGAGACTGGATGGAGGGGAAGCGGGCAGGATCCTCTAGCAGGCTCAGGGCTGGATGGGGGGAAGCAGGTAGGGTGCTCTACCGGGTTCAGGGGGCTGTGGCTCCAGCAGAGATGGAGCTGAGCTCGGGTGTGAATCCCTCTTGATGTTCCTCTGGGCCACCGCAGCCACTGCTGCCCAGCTGTACCAGCTGGAGATGGGGGTTTGCGAACTCCTGCGCTTGCTGTTAAGGTTGTAGGTGAGGGGAGGTGACAGCTTCAAATGCATTTTGCACTGTTGCTGTGGAAATGAGTTGCAAAACCAGTTTGGGCAATGGCAGCTACTGGTACATCTCCAGGGGAGAGACTTTCTGATTTAATGGCCGCAGCCACTGCTGCCCAGCTGTACCAGCTGGAGATGGGGGTTTGCGAACTCCTGCGCTTGCTGTTAAGGTTGTAGGTGAGGGGAGGTGACAGCTTCAAATGCATTTTGCACTGTTGCTGTGGAAATGAGTTGCAAAACCAGTTTGGGCAATGGCAGCTACTGGTACATCTCCAGGGGAGAGACTTTCTGATTTAATGGGTTGCCTAAACCAGAGGGAGTTAAAGTTCAGCTCATAAACTGAAGCAGAGAAAGTTCCACCTGAACACAAGGAAGAACTTCTTCCCTCTGAGGGTGCCGGAGCCCTGGCCCAGGCTGCCCAGGGAGGCTGTGGAGTCTCCTTCTCTGGAGATATTCCACACCCGCCTGGCCGCGGTGCTGTGCAGCCTGCTCTGGGTGACCCTGCTTGGGCAGGGGGTTGGGCTGGGTGACCCACAGAGGTCCCTGCCAACCCCTGCCATGCTAGGATTCTGTGAAAGTGTTCTTCTTGAGCTGAAACTAGGAACAGGCTTGTAGCAGTTGAACTGAAACTGCGTGGATTGTGTGGAGGAGCCTGCATCCTCTTGGCCTCCAGTCATCTGCAAAGGCCTCCCGAGTGTTGCACACAGACGCAAAGCCATTAAATAATGTCGTTGGCGTTGCAAGCGTTTTCCTGCAGAGGTGTTCAGGTGCTTCTCTGCTACCTGCTCTTGGCCAGCTTGTAATCTCACCAGTGTTTCCTTCCTACTGGTTTTTATTGACTCGGCACTGAAGGTGGGCAAGTACTGGAGCGAGGAGGTAGTGATGTGACTGAGCTGTGTTGCCCCGGGGACGGCCACACCAAGGCTGTGCTGTGCTCGGCTTTTGATGGCGTGACCGAGGCTCAGTGGTGGCTCTGATGGCCGTGGTTTCTCCACAGGGCGCCTGAGCTCCACATCCAGCAACAGCTCCTGCGGCAGCTCGGAGTACTCTGGGGAGGTCGTCCCCCACCCCCCAGGTAAGTGCCACCCATCCCGGGGCTGCGAGGGAGGACTCTGCTCCTGGCCCTTCCACTGTAAATCTTACTGGAGGTGACCCAGCCTCTGCTGTGGGATGAGACCGGGGTGGTAGCTGGGCTGCCCGGCTTGCGCTGAGCTGGACCTGAAGAGCTGGGCAGAGAGGAACCTGATGAGGTTCCACAAGGGCAAGGGCAGGGTCCTGCACCTGGGGAGGAACAACCCCAGGCACCAGCACAGGCTGGGGCGGACCTGCTGGAGAGCAGCTCTGCGGAGAGGGACTGGGAGTGCTGGGGGACGACAGGGTGACCATGAGCCAGCAGCGTGCCCTGGATGCCAAGAAGGCCAATGGGATCCTGGGGTGCATGAGGAGGAGTGTGGGCAGCAGGGCAAGGGAGGTTCTCCTGCCCCTCTGCTCTGCCCTGGGGAGGCCCCATCTGCAGTGCTGGGTCCAGTGCTGGGCTCCCCAGTTCCAGAAAGATGA